ATTGGCGCCGCAAATTTCATTTTGGCGCTTTTTTTTTAAAATTATTTAATCATACAATTCACGACATACATTGTGCGTCGTAAAAAGGAAATACTTTTAACGCAGGACATAGTGTGTGCGCGTAAAAAGTGCAATACTTTTAACGCGGGCGTTGTGTGCGTCTGATAGCATTCCCTCCGGGGTATTTCTGGGGTATAATTAATGTATTAACGGCACGCTATATGCATGTCGTAGAAAATTTTTATTATTTACGGCGTGCATTGCAACCGTAAAAAAATCATCGTTTATTACCATTCACGGCCTACGCAAAGACACGCCGTAATTAGAAAAGTATTTACGACATGCCAAAAAAGCAAGTCGTAAAAGTGAGAAACTACGGCGTGCATTTATTTATGCCGTTGATGTGGTGCCGTAAAAAGTCAGTTTTGTTGTAGTGATAAATTTGTTATAACTATTCTCTTCTTTTCTTTTTTTTTGTTGTTGGAAAAAATGATTTTTGGGGACTTTAATTTATTATTAAAGTGTGGTGACTTTAATTAAATATTAAAGTGGGTCCTGACCATTTTTTGTGTTGGGTCCAAGTGAGCCAAAAATCATTGGGTTTTGAATAAGAAATTGCCAAGAAATTGCTTCATGATGTTAGATTCATGAATAGGATTTTAAAGAGTATTTAAATCTTTTTTCTTGGCTAAAGGGTGTGAATCCTTTGGGCATCCATACTTTTCATTTTATGGAAAGGGGCTATGGATGCTTGGTGATTTAATGACTAGCCTTAAAGGCTGGAGGCTTTTCCTCTCTCCCCTATATATGTATAAATTGAGACCCTCCTGTCAAGTTTCAATATAGAAATTTTTGCTTCCATTTTACAAGTCAGTTTGCTTGATAGTTCTTATTGTGAGAGAGTGCTGCCATTGTTTTGTTCGCTAAGCTAGACAGATAGTGCTTTTGCCATAGCTGGTTTTGACCGTCGTATCCTGGGAGACAGACGCCGGGTTTCCTCAAGCACTCGACCCGTGAGGCGGCGAAATCTGTTTTAAGGAAACTGCTTCCGTGCAGGCTTCGGTTTTGTCTCTTTACCCTTTATTGTTTATTGTGTATTTCTGTTGAAATTTAGTTGTAATTATCAGCATATGTTCTTGGTATATAATTTGTTTTCTTCATAAATCTATTTATTTAATTTCACAATTTTGAACAACATATCCTGTATTCTACAATCTTCCTTGGGATTGAACAATCTATTGAATGTATGTCACGTGAAAAGATATCAATTTTGATGTCTTCAATTCCTGAGGTTGTTGTCTGCTTTGAAAAGTTCAAGCTCTCGATTGCAGCTTCCAAAGTCGATTCAGTAAGCAAACGATCAACCAGCAATACAAAGTGATCACCCATCCTCAAATACCAAGCCCACAACAAACTAAATTACTCTGTTGAAAAGAAAGAAAATGAATCCAAAGCCTGCAAGCCCTTGAACAAGTACTTATCAATTAAATTAATTCAATCATAGAGCAAAGGAAGGTATGAACATGATGAATACAAAAGACAACAAAACAATAACACAACCACCAAATAAATTCACAAAAGAATGTGAATTTGAGTTGATAAAAAACTAAAATTAACTTTGTAATCCTGAGCAAAGTGTCCACAAATGACCTTAACTTGAACTACAGTGGAACCAACTAAAATTATAGAAAATCAAAACAAAATACCAGTTTTTATTTTTTATTTTTTACAGAAGAAGGGAGGAAAACCAGAGCTAAATCTAATAATAAAAACAACAAAAAAGAATGTTCAGAGTCATCACTTAAAAGCCCATCCAAAAAATTCAAAACAAACTGAAGAAAAGGGAAAAAGAAACAAACAGAAACTGTTTGAATTACTTTCCAAACTGGATTGGTCCCCCTCCTCCTTTGGGTAGTTTCATAAATTTTCAAAGCACTTTACAACCATTGCCATAGGCTCCAAACTCCACCTGCTGCCACCATATATAACCAAAGAAACATAATACGTTATACATTCAACTTTCTTAAATAGTCTAAGAGACTGTAAAAAAAAGACCAAGAAATTTCACTGATTGAATTCACATTTAGGGACATCTGACTACCAGTTTCACAATCACATGTGGCTATAATTTTCTGATACATCTCATGACTGGAACAAATTTTCAAATACATGGTGTGCAACTTTGAAAGGTGGTAAGATTAAACACAGAAAATTATCATAACCTTAATAAACTAACTGTTGTGGCCAAATTTAAGCCTTTCAGACCTGCCATATGCAAAGGATTATTGAAAATTATTACTTGCATGTGCTGCATTCCAGCGATAGAAACGAAAATAATAATAAATAAATTTAAAAAAAACACACACACACACACACAATTGAAAAATAAGACATGGTACATGTTAAATCCACAAACTAAACCCTTAAAGCGTAAAAAAAATAAAAATAATTACCTTAATGCAAAGAAAACTGGCTTTGGTGGTAACGGATTCAGGGACTTTCTCTTCCTCTTCTTCATAGTCAAGAAGCTCTTCATTTTTTTTTCACCTAATAGACAGTAAAAAAAAAATTAAATTTAAGTGTTTCATTACGGTTTCAAATTCAAACAAAGCATGAAGCCTAAAGTTTTGAGAAAAATGTTGTTCACCTTTGAATTTGTAAGAAAATTAGGTGGAATTAGATATAAGCTGTGAAGCGTCTGGTTATCCCATTGCTTCTTGCTTCCATGCTTTCTTTGACGATACATATACCTGTGAGATGGCAAGAGATAGCTGAGATATTTGGGAAGAGCTCACCTAGCAAGAAAGGCCCGGCGAGATTTGGGATTCGATCAATTCGCATGAGAAATGGAAGAGATTATAAGAGGAATATGAGAACAAAGAATGGGTTTGAAAAAAGAAACATGGGAACAGAGTCAGCTGGGTATAGTTATTTTGGGGGAAAAAAAAATTGGCGCCGCAACTTTCATTTTGGCGCTTTTTTTTAAAATTATTTTAATCATACAATTCACGACATACATTGTGCGTCGTAAAAAGGAAATACTTTTAACGGCAGACAATGTGTGCGTCGTAAAAAGTGCAATACTTTTAACGGTGGGCGTTGTGTGCGTCGTGAAAAGCATTCACTTTTCACGGCTGGCGTATGTGCGTCGTGTATAATTAATGTATTAACGGCACGCTATATGCATGTCGTAGAAAGTTTTATTATTTACGGCGTGCATTGCAAGCCGTAAAAAAATTATCATTATTAGCATTCACGGCCTACGCAATAGACCCGCATAGTTAGAAAAGTATTTACGACATGCAAAAAAGCAAGTCGTAAAAGTGAGAAACTACGGCGTGCATTTATTATATGCCGTTGATGTGGTGCCGTAAAAAGTCAGTTTTGTTGTAGTGATCAAATTTTGTTATAACTCAAGTTTGGTAAAAAACACAAATAAGTTGATCTGATTAACATCATTGAGAGCATTTCATGTATTTTTTTATTACATATATCACCAATCAAACTTTTTGTTATAACTCAAGTTTGGTAAAAAAAACACAAATAAGTTGACCTGATTAACAATTCATTTGAAGAGCATGTTCGTGTTTTTTTTTTACATATACACAATCAAACTTTAGTCACAGATCATCGTATACAGCGAACAAAATCAAAAGAATCATACAATCCAACTGATGCATAAAAATCAATAAACACAAAAAGGCAATCAAATTGAACCTTCAAGTGGGTAGCAGCCTTTTCCTGGTCAGTGAACACTCCTGTGGACTCCACAACACAACTCGAATGCCCCGAAATTCTGCATGTCGTTCTTTATTGCAGGGACATTCTTCAGGGTCCTGAAATTCATGCAAAATATGCCGAGAATGACTCTGATTCATTTGATTCAAATGCAGGAAGTTAAGTGTGCTAGAAATGCATAAATACCGATCCGAAACAGTGACCGGTTCTCACCGAAAGAAGGTTTTGAACCTTACCTTAACATCAGAATGCTTCCAGTGGCATGGAACACTGTCATACTTGAACATGTATGTCTGCACATATCACAATAACAAAATCGCACTTAGCAGTCATACATATATTCTATTACATAAGCCTACAAATCAATGAAGCTTTGTCACAGATTTTCATTGTCAAATTACCTACAATTGCTTCACTTTTTATTTAAATTTCAAATTTTTATAACTTCTTCAATATTCTTTCTTCTTGTCTACAATAATTTTTTGGGTCAGTAAGTAAAATTGAATTGATTGATTTTCATAGCTCACTCATCAGATATACACATCATCTAGTCTATTCTATTACATAAATCTACAACCAGTGACAACTTTTTTATTATCAAATTTCCAAGCAACTACGTCCCTTTTTTATTTAAATTGAATTGTTTTAATTCATCTACTTTTTTTTTGGATAGTTATATTTTGCACCCTTATATTTTACGTCAAATCCCACTTTGTCACAAACCTTTTAATTGTTGCAAATAACCAAGACTTTGAGTCAAGTTAAAATCACACTTAACACACTGCACTTTTCAAAACAAAGTTATACCTATATGACTAGGCAATAACAACTTGACTCGGAGTTAAGGGGGTTAGAGGGACAATTAAAAGATCAATAAAAAGTAAAAAAATTAAACCATTTTTATAGTAAAGCCATCAAGAGTGTGCAAAACCTTCTATATATCTATATATCTATACTATAGT